GTGTCTTTTACTGAACATGTTAAAAGGGAAGTACATGAAATTGAAAAAAAATTATATGAAATAGCGATGACCTCTTGGAAAAACACTAAAGAAATTTAACTTAGTTAATAAGATCAAGACCAACATCCAGATGTCATTTTTGCTACCATTCTAAAGTTTCTGTTAATGTAAGTCAGCATTTTGGGTAATTTAAAAATATCCCCGGCTGATAAAAGTTGACATCCTGTCCATACATCGACAAACACCTGCGTGTTATCTCCACAGATGTTTTCACTTCTGTTGCCTGATTTGACCTCTTGTCAAGACATTGACAGTGTCCATTATCACTTTTAATTCACTTTTGGCTGTAGCGTATTCACCCTTCGCTGTTTTATTTGTGTCAGATTTGAGTTTGTAGTTTTTGCAATATTTTATGTAGTACCATCATAGTGTTCATAGAATGGAACAAGTAACAATCTCATAATGCGTTACCACAAATTTTATTCACAGCAGACAATTTGACTTTGACTTGTAGGCGGAAAAGTACAGGTGTTACTGATAGCAACAACAGTGGCTCTGTTCTGTTGGTGCACCTCAGTACATCATGGCAGTGAGACAGCATGCACACACCAGGACCCTGAAACTGAAGCAGCTAGATGGAAGTTAGCATCAAGCTGCTACACCGCTTAGTATCCAGAATAGCTCAGTACAAGTAGTCAGGATGCACAATCTTGGAAAAAATGGACATTGTGATATTAATCAAATATATACATGTTGTAATATTTTTTTAAAAACTACTAGAATTTTCAACAGATGATTTGAATAAGAATTTATCATTCTGAAATGATTGGGATGATTTTGTAGGAGAGTGCATCTGCATAAAAATTATTTGGATGTCATTCAGATCTGGCTCCTCACTCACCATGCTGAGCTTTGTGGTACTGGTTTAAATGGTCAAACAAATTAGTCATGTGGCCTTGTGTGGTGGCAACAATTGCAGAACACTGCAGACAGAAAACATGTTTTTGTTTAATAGCATCATTTGTGTAGCTGGGCTCGGTGGTTAGCACCGTTGCCTCACAGCAAGAAGGTCGCTGGTTCACGTCCCAGTGAGGACACCCGGGATCTTTCTGTATGGAGTTTGCATGTTCTCTTAGCGTGGGTTCTCTCTGAGTTCTCCAGCCTCCTCCCACAGTCCAAAAACATGTTGAAGTTAATTGGTGATTCTAAATTGTCCGTAGGTGTGAATGTGAGTGTGCTTGGTTGTCTGTCTCTAAGTGTAGCCCTGTGATAGACTGGTGACCTGTCCAGGGTGTCCCCTGCCTTCACCCTAAGTCAACTGGGATAGACTCCAGCCCCCCGTGACCCTAGAGGATTCAGCGGTGTATAGATATTGGATGGATGGATTTCTGTAGCTGAAATATTTCAGTCAATTGTTGATGCTGAAACAACATATTCATCCATCATGAAAATTGTCATTCGTTGCAACTCTGTTAATCATCATTAAACCACAAGAGTAAAATTCTCCATGAACACATCAGTAATAATAATCTAACCATATACTAAGTACATATATTTAGATATACTGCATACACTCACAGGAGTCATTTGTCTGTTAAATAATCTTTTGACATTTTCTGTACATTTTCCTGATAGTTCTTGTCTACATTTACCAAGTAACATTTTTAATACAAGACTTTGACTTATAATAGAGTATTATTACAGCGTGGTTTTTGTCCGCTGCCATCACTGATAAAGGTGATATAACTGCTTTATGTACTTTTTGCATGTTAGTCCAGCTCTTTCCCTCCTAATGCTGCCTGTTCACAGTGGGGAGTTGGTGTTTGAGACACAGTGACATAAGTCCACAGGCAGAAACCCACACTGAGAAGCACAAAGAGGGAGAGAGATATAAAGGAGGCAGACAGGGAAGGAGTGAGGAACAGTAAAGTGATGTTCCTGTTATTTATCTCAGCAGTGGTACCATGTCGCTGTATGCATTTCTCCTTCTTCTTCTTGTTCTCTCTCTCTGTCGACTTCTTTCTTTCCTGCAGGTGTCCTTTCAACCTTTTCACCTCCTCAGAAATTATAAGATTGCAGCCTTTTGTACGCCTTTGTCTTTTTTTTCCTCCCTCCCACTGCTTCTTCCACCTGCACATTATTAAAACATGACATGAAGATGACTAGGTGTTGTTTGCTGGAATATGTAATGCTTCTGATTCCTTATTACATTACATCCTCACATCTCCCCACCCCCCACCCCCACATAAACACACATTGGTCCACTGAAGGGGGAAGTGCGATGCAGGGGAGCAGGAAGCAGGAAAAGGCAAACGGTGAGATCACATAGACTCATTGTGAGACACACTGGTTTGACGCTCTGTGTGCGTCTGCTGCTCTTTTCTCAACTCTCTAAGAGCTGACACGAACGCACACACTCACACTGCATCCTGTTGTTACCTAAATATCCTGCTCCCCATCTCACCCACTGTCTCCCCTCTCACCGCCACTGTGAGCCACTGCAGGATTCTCACTCTCGCTATTTCCCCATCTTCTTTTTACAAGTTCTCTTCCTCCCTCAGCATCTCGCTTTCTTTGCACCTCTAACCTTCATCCCTTCCTCTCTCCCACCTTCGCTGCCTTCTCGACTAGATTCCCATCATTTCGCTGTCAGTATTAACTTTGGATTTTTTTTCCCTAAACATTATTATTTTCCTGAAAGTTCCTGTGAAATCAAGCATGGGTAATATCAGAGACAACGTTTTGATTGCATCACCCTATCTAAGTTTACTTAAGGTTCTTCCACTGTATTTTGCCAGCTTCTTCCCCTCATCCACCAGCTCCTCCCTCCGTCTTTCTCCTCTATTCTGCCAGCGCACTTTAAAGGAGCCATATTGTTGGTATTATCATTGTCTCTAACTGAATCAGTTACCATTAGACCTGAATCTTTCTCCTTCTGAGGCCCATAGAGCAGCTCTCTAACCCAATAGAAAACCCATGGGCGCTATTACAGATGGCTGACCCATTCACAACGCACCCACACACTCACACACACACTCTGAGGTACAAACACACAGATTTCATTCTGAAGATTCATTGGCCTAATCCCATCACAAACTCAAACAGTAACACAGGCACTTACAAACACACAATGGGCTTGTTCACAGCCCACCTTTTCAAATACACACACATAAACACCCTGCTCTCATTGAAAATCCCATGTTATTGGAGCTCACTGAGCAAACGGTAATACTATTGGGAGATGATGGGACTGAATTGTGTGTGCGTGTGTGTGTGTGTGTGTGTGTCCAGGAGACTGTGGCGGCTGCATATGGCTGTCATTATGGCTGGATGTATGAGAAGGACTAAGGAAGAGAGGGTAAATGTCATTCTATCAATGAGGTTATCTCTAATAGATGGACAGTTGAAGTCCTGGTTTCCATTTACTCTGCTTTCAGCTGAATCCCTGTGCCTCTCGCTTTGAATTCATCGCCGTAATAGCAAGTGATAAAGGGCTTGGGTTTATCTTTTTTTGACTGCAGTGTTCTCAGTAGATTCACATGGAAATCCAGGGACATGGAGGTAATTGGCCTGTGCTTCAAAGTGTTTTCATGTTTTAAAAAAAACCCAAAAACTGTCTATTGGGCAACCACGTGGTGTTTTATTTCATTATATTTTTATTGTCTTTTATATTTTTCTTTTAATTCAATGTTATCCAGTGTTTTTAGCTTTCTTTTACTATGTCCAAATCAGCTTTGTCATTTATTTATTCTGTTTAGTTCAAGGGTTTGTTCAAGGTTTTTGTTAGCTCCATTCTAATTATTTTTGTTTCATTATCATTATTATTTTAGTTCTTTTAAACAAAAGCAGTTTAACCTCTGCAAATGGTAACTTTTAGGGACTTGGAGAAGAAGTAGCTTTAAAGACTGTGAAAAGCCTTTTTTTTCAATCTGCTTCTTACTGTGAGTAATACGGTTCTACATGAACACACGATTTCTGGTTTGAAGTGGATCCAACTCAGTTGGGTGGTGTTGGGTGAGGCTTTAGCAACATGATTCAAAATCTGATGACACTCGGGATTGTTTGCTAATGTCACGAGTGTACTGTTAATTAGCTGTAATCAAACTTACCTGCAGCAGCTTTGTGTAGCAGACGAGCTAAGTTTTTGACTGTAGAAGTCCTAATACATAAAATATATAAATATTGTTTCTTCTAACGGTAACTTAATAGTTGCACATGTGTGTGTATGGAGAGACAATTTTTAAATGATGAAGTGCTGGTTTGGAGTTTTGAGTCACTTAATTATTCACCTGTAGTTTTTATCCCTCAACGATTGAGTTGAACTTCTTTTTTTTTATATATATATATTTTTGTAATGTGCAGAGCAACATCAAAACATATTTTGAACTAGTAGAATGTTGCTCCTGTTTACTTGCAGATTCCACGTTAGACCCATGCAGCTGAGATCAAGTAGTCCCTTCTTTCTAAAAAAAAAAAAAATAACTAAAATACTGGGTCAAAAATCAAAATACTGGATCTTATTTTTCCCACAATGCAACAGGGATGCAGTCTTCCATTAGACAACCCTGCTAGGTATACAGAGACCTCTTTCTAACGCCACACTGACAGCTCGTAGCTTTCTGTAAATGTTCTCATCTCGTAGCCCAAGCCACAAAAAAATACTCAGATTACATCACTATGACTTCATCAGGGTTATTCTCTTAGCCTGAGCTCCCACAGAGTCAGAGTAGACATGGTGTGACTGTTTGCACATTCTCTATATATCTGACAATGACCAGCAATCTGATATTAATTCTGCAGAATCTCCTCTAGACTGGAATACAATAGATAAGAATCAAAAATATATATATTTATGTTTTTGCCCAATTTTGTGTGATGGTGCTTTTCTTATCAAGACTTTTCCTGTGTAGCTACAGTAGAAGTAGAAAGTCAAGCAGGATTGCTTCTCTTTGTTAGTGCCTTTTGCCTTCATTTGGTTTGGCCTTGACCTTTGAACTCAGCTATGAGGAGCGAGCCCGGTACTTAGAAACTATTGTGCAGCACCACCAGGAGCCGACCACCTTCGAAGATTATGCAGCTCGAGTCTACAGTCCTGCTCCCTGCACCCACCTGCCCTCAGACACAGGTAGGACCTGACTGTTTTTGTTTTGCTCTGTGTGAAACATAACCAGACATATATGGCATGTGGATTTCATTCAGAAAATTCATTGGCCTGATTTGGGTGACTAATAAAACTTGGGAAAACTGCTTCTAGGTCAGCCATAGGGGCCAAATCAGGACACATTTTCCCCTTTTTTCCCCCCCTGGCCCCCTTTGACAGATCTTTGGGATGGATTTGACAAGTGACATTAAAACATACATAAAAGAGAGAGAGATTTATAATACATCTCTAATAACAACATTGTAAGCCAAAGAAAAAAACCCACAGCTACATTAACTTAAGTATTGTATTTTTGGGGTACACGTTTTCTGGATTCGATTCAGATAAACTAGAACGCTGCCCCCACACTTTGGCAGCTCACAGTCTGATTGACAGTCTCACAGTATCTGGTGAGCTCTGCTTTGTATCCAATGCTGTGCTCGGCCTTCTTCTCTCTCCAGAGCATCTCCGAGGAATTAACTGACATCTGATCAGCTGTAGAGATGCCAGACATGCACATGGGAGTTATATGTGTATAATTCTCATATGTATCCTGTTAATTTTGTTACACTGATGCTAAGTGTGATTTAAAATGATGTACTGTCCTTTGACTCACATTTAAACTAGTTATTCAACTTGGCAATTATTTACAATAATTTAATTCTGCAGGTAAGCCACACATTACTTCATGATATATATATATATATATATATATA